GGGGGGGGGGGGGGGGTACTTATAGTCGTGCATGCCGTAGTCGTTAGACCATTGACCTCTCATTTCGATAACGCCGCGATAAAGCCAGGACGGAGCACGCCCGGTTCTCACCGGACCAGGCTCTCTGGGGTCGTTCTCTTCTTTTTTTAATGATTATTTCCCTTTCTGGGAGGGGACCCGGCACTCTTTCCAAGGTTGATACTGTGGCTACTCGTTTTCGTGTGTCCCGCTATGTGTCATCCGTTTAGACAGTTGCAAACTACCGCAGGCGTTGAGGCTTCTCCAAACCACAACGGCTCCTGAAACGCTCTGGCTCGTTTGGTGCATGCACCCCCCGAAGCATACTCTCGTTCCTACGAGAGCAGGCACCAGCACCAGCACCAGCACCAACGGTGCTACCAGCCGTTGCGAGCAACTAGCTTGAACATCGAAAACATCAGCAACATCACAACCACCAGTCACGATAAACCAGCTGTTGCAAGATAGCTCGGAACAGAGACAACACCACCGCCAGCAAGGACAACAGCAGTCCCACCAGCTGTTGCGAGCTGAGCGAAGCGTACGAGAAGGCCGGCTCCATGGGTCGCGCGTCCACCCCCCCGCCCGCCCCCCCGGCCACGGACATGTTCACGAACTCGCACGAGAGCAGGGACTTCTTGAATAGAACATCGTTGTACCCGGAGGCCTCTTCCGCCGGCCTCAGCAGCAAGTACGGCGCAAACCTTCGGCATTTTCGGAGGAAGAGTGTGCGGCGAGTGAAGGAGACAACTGAGGAAAGACACAGCTGCTTCGAGGATTCATGCCTCACACGCTAGGGTCACGCGGAGTGAGGGGAATCTCAGGCCCGATTCTTGCCATTAAACCCATGTACCCTGGCGGGGGATAGACACAAGCCCGACAGCGAGGCAGACAAACAGACAGGCAGGAAGGCAGACATAAACAGAAAAGCGGTAGACTACGCATGCAACAATGCCCGTCCCTTCGTGACAAGTGTCACCTGAGCCAGGCGCGGGCCGTCCTCGCGTCGAACATGTCTCTCATCAGCGAGAGGAGACGCAGACCGGGATCCTCCTCCAACCCCCCGCTGCCGTTCCCCGCGGAAGGTGGCGCGTCGAACACCTCCAGGAGGCTTCGCCTGATTCCGTGGCGCCGCGGCTGGGAAGGCCTACTGGTATCATGTCCTCCCTCTGCCCCGGCTTCCCCCGGAGCTTTGTCATCGAACGTCATGCCTGGGTCCGGAGGCCCGGGTTATACGAAGTACGTGCGAGGGCACACGCCCGTCAGAGAGTTTGGCAACACGGTTACGTACGAATCGAATAACAGTACCTTCTCACGAGCATGTCGCTCGAGGTGAGTTTTCGCGCGATTCTTTCATGCGGGCGGTGGGAATACCTTGGCAAGGCTCAGCGGTCTGGCCATTTGACCCCCCCCCCCCCCCCCCCCCCCCCCCCCCCCCCCCCCCCCCCCCCCCCCCCCCCCCCCCCCCCACCCCCCCCCCCCC